ATTCTATATATATATATATATATATATATATATACGAAAGAATTCTGCAGAAAATCAGTTTTAGACATACGATTTAATAAATCTTATGATTTAAAAGCAATCTAATAGATGTCAATTAGTTTAATATTTATCATATTATATGCGTATATCTTGATTCGGGTAAACGAGTTCGGCGTGAAGTTTAGCTTGAATTATCATCCGAATTAGATCTTCGCAGTGAAAATCGATTCTTGAGAGAAAATAATATACGTAGGTAATAATACTTTTGAATCTCGTACCGATTGAGTATTAAGTCGAGATGAAAAAACAACAATTACTCACGTGAAAAATTATGCGCACGCGCAATTCTCAGAACGAAATGCATAGCACCTATAAATACAGACCCCCGAAGCGCGAGAGAAAATTGTAAGAACACTTAATTTTGAAATATACCGTAAGAACCATATATTCGATACGAGAATTCGCGACGATTTGGCTAACGCCGGGGACGTAATTATGTGTAAAGCCGAAGGGAACATACGAAGGCCGTTGCGGAGCTGAAGTCACGGTATGCATGCGAAGACTCGTGAGAAAGTTAGTTTTTCGATCCCGCTCGTGCATGTCTCATTTCATTAAATTCTCAGTCACGTCAGTGGCTCCGAGGTTTATGCGACTACCAGCAATCGCTATATCGAAAATGGAGAGAGGAGCGGAGAGTGGCAGTAAACTATTGGAAAAGAATAATGCGGGAATAACAGTACCGAAGCGATATAAATCAATTTGTATTAACCGTGATACTTGCTGAATGTATGTGAATCGTGCCAATTCTCTGTGGGTAGTGTCGAGATTTATTCGATGATTTAAATATAGAAGAGATTGTTTTTAATCATCAATAATATATCGCAATAAATAAAAATTATTCCTTAACTATATTACCAACGGAATGGGATGTTTTTCGTATTCACTTTTTTATGTAGTGTTTTTATAAATTTGGAAATTCTTTTTCACAATTAAAGTTTATGTATTAATATGTGTCTACATGAAATTTGCGTCAAGAATGAGAAAAATTTTTTTAATCTAGATTTTTTTTACTACTTTAATATGGCATCCAGAACTGTCAATTGTGTCAATATTTGTTTTATATAAAGATTTTGGAACTTATATTTACAAAATTAGTATTGCTAAACTAATAGATTGCGATAAAGATATAATATTGAGTTCTTAGAATTACACGAAAAGAATATTTTTGCTGGCAAATCTAAAATTTGACCAGATATAGATCTGAAAATAATTTTGTTGGCCCGTCAAAATTATTTGTAGAGCACTTAAATATGATGATAATACTGCAAAAATGTTTGATCTTTTAACAATCAATTTCAACATCGTATATAACAATTTTGAAGGCCCGTTTTCAGATCTGTATCTAGTCAAATTTTTAAATTTGCCAGCAAAAGTATTCTTTCCGTGTAAATATGATTTAGATATGCGAAAAAGTATACATGAAAATTTGTTCATATATATATATATACACATATATATGTATGAGTATGAGTATGTGTGTGTGTGTGTGTGTGTGTGTGTGTGTGTGTGTGTGTGTGTGTGTGTGTGTGTGTGTGTGCGTGTGTGTTTAATAAATTTAATAAATTTATCAGTGTGATAACCAGTTTAATTGATCGTGTACCAACAAATAGTTTTAACATCAATACAAACAATAACAAAATTTTTGTCATTCATACCAAACATTTCTCTCAGCGTACACGAAAGTACGTCTATGAATGCACCAAATATGTACATATGTGGACGCTTTTATTGGAGTTCGCTCATCTTTCCAGCATCATAATCTTGCAAAATATGTTTTATGTGAAATTTATTGGACAAAAAAATGTGTTAAATTAAAAACATATGTGTCACATCAGCGCTTGCAAATCATGAATGTTTTATATACATATATACATATAATTGCGCCGGGAACGAAGCTGCTACTGCTCACTTTATAAATTCATAAATTGGGATATCAGTATTCCAGACAGTCTGAACTCCTACAGAGAGTCCCTAATCCCGACGTTTACGTTTACGTAATTGATGAACATGTTCCGATATACCTAACCGGCGTGCGCACGCGCGCACGCCGTTGCAGAATCGGCGGACTCGATTAAAATACTTTCTCGCGCGTGAGTCATCTCTCTCACGGAAGAGAGATGTAAATTGTTTTTCCTTTACGACGCTGCCCGGCGTAACCTCGGCCGTGATAATCCTTGTGCACACATAATCCGCGTCGACGAATAAATACGTGGACATCTCTCAGGTAGGGAGCTTTTATATAATGGCCGATCCGCAAAGGCGCGCATCCATCTTCTCAGTAATTAGTCGGACTTTCCCTGTCATTGATGAAGTGGTTACCATCGATTATTATTCTCGGATGTCTAGGCGCGCCTATACCCTCGTCGTCGATGAAACAACGTTTTCGAGATGACGAAACAAAAATCGAGAGCCTCGAAGCCCGAGTCCGGAGAAGAGCCGAGTGGCGGATTAAGCGAGAATAAATCGTTGCGATCCCACATACCTACCGATGCCATAAATCGCCGTGTAACCCAGATGCACCGATCTCTGTCCAAATGAATGTTTGCTTACGCAACTTTTGCTCGATCGACGCGTGTCGCGCTCGTAGGCGATCCCGACCGAGCGTCAATATCATTCGCGTGTTATTAGAGTTACGCCATCCGCAGACTTCCAATAGAATATTGAGAGAAAGATCGGTGTCACGATGTGAAAGATTTCCTTATTGTCTATAATATATCAAAATAAAAACCAAAGAAAATGTTGTAACATTTATAATCTTGCCCCATTTATACTGGATACTTATATAATAACGATTAAAGATTTCTCTCTAAAACAACTTTGCTCATTCTTTAGTAGAGTAGTTTCCGACGGTTTCAGTATTTTCTTTTTTTTTTTTTTTTTTTTTTTTGTAAAACAAACGCGTGGTGAATCGTTCGCAATAAATCCGATGTTAATCGACGATTGTTCCGCACCGACATTACTACCAAAAATCCACGTGATAAGAGATATCGATAACGAGCTGGGCCCGAGCACAGGCCTCGTTCGCTTAATGTATTCACGAATACACCCAGAGAAAAGTATACCGATGCTGTTCGACAAGGTAAATTTATGCAAAGTCTGTCGGAGCGGGTCCACCACGTCGTCGTCGGTAATTATAGGTGGGCCCGCTATCGTCATTAGTAGCGGCTATCGACAGTCCCGTGTTAAATGGCCGCGACGTATCTTAACTTCCCGACATAGTTCACACGATCCGTAAGATTGGCCTTATCTCGTAATGATGCGATAACGGCGCGGATTGTTGCGTGAACGGTTCGCCACCCATGCATGATGCCCCGTGTTAAGCGAACCGACACTTATCTCAGGCAGGCAAAAATGGCTCTGCCCCTCCGAGTAACGCGCTTTCTTACGCTATCTTCGCAATTTTCTTCGGTTAATTGTATCCCGCCGATTCTTAATTTTGTAACTTGTCTTAAACGTCACTGAGAAGAAAGTCGATCGCTCAGTCACGCAGATATCGATCGCTTCGAGCGAAAGTTCGATCTCCTATCGTTCAGTAAAATCATCGAGCGAAGAATAATTCTTTCTTTTTTTCTTGTATCACATTCTGAATCATATTAATTATATTATAAAATTATATTATTATATTATGTTGTTTGCGCTGAAAATAATTATATATATATACTTAAAATAAATTATCAAAAAATATTTATTTTCATTTGTTATAAATATTTGTAATGAATAAATTTCTCGTTATTCGTGTACTATTATTTGTTAAACATACATATTATTATTATATAAATCATTTAATAAAAACGTAAGTTTCTAGAAAGTAATATTTTATTTAAATTTGCTATTCTAATTTGTCATAAGAGGATTAACGTATTTATTGCGGTAACTTCTGTACCACTGCCTGGAGATATGGCATTTTAGACTGATTGCATCAATATATCGCTTGACAGTAATCCTAATTAACTCATTTTTTCTCTCTGTCCAGATTATACGCATAATTTTTGTCGTGAAAGATACAACAATTCGCTCGTCTTTTTTTGATCTTTGTCTCTTGTAAATTGTTTACAATAAAGCCGACAAAATTAATAAAACAAATCACATATTTACAATATAAATATAAATTCGGATGTGAAAGCGGTCGATCTTGAGCTTATAGAGTTCAATGTAGAATAGCGTTTCGCGCGGGATATCGAGATGACGTTTCTTGCGTCGGCGTTGAAATCACCGTGTGGAGAGCACCGAGAGCGGCGCGTCGAAACTTCCTCGATCTCTCGAGACTTCGACTTCGATCGCAGTCATTTTGCGCGCTATACGATCTCTTCTCCTATCTTGCTCTGTCTTCTCGCTCTTTCTCTCATTGTCACCACGAGAACGGTCGCGACACTTGGTGTCATCGTCGCGAGCGTGCGAGAACAACGAGCGACGAGCGAGACAACGGCAACAATAAGCAGACAAATCAGTGCGGTCATATAGCTGTCTCTCGACTACAATCCCACCCCCTTTTCTCCATTCTCCTCTCTATATTCTCTTTCTCTCTCTCTCTCTCTCTCTCTCGTTCCCTCTCGCTTCTCCTCTCTCGCTTCTCGTTCTGCTCCTTCGACGCGAGAGCGCGGTATATGGGCGGTA